CTCTCCAGTGGGTTGTTCTATTTTTGTGGGCAAAATAGAACAACCAAACAGATCTGAATAGGAATAATGAATATTTATTTATTTGTTAGATTTATATCCTGCTTTTTTCTTATACAAACACAATACAGCTTCTCCTGCTGCTCCCAATCTTATCTCCACAACACTGTAAGGTATGTTGGGCTCAGAATGTGTGACTGGCCCAAAGTCACCCAGTGAGCTCCATGGCCAACTGGGGAGTAGAACCCAGGTCTCCTGAGTCCCAGTCCTGCATTCTTAACCACTACATCACACAGACTATACACTACTCTGCACTACACCAAAAAGCAGAAACATGGCTATGTTTTAAACTCAGTCCTATGTATCTGAAACAACAGCATTCAGATACAAAGAACAGCATTCAGACTCAGATAGTGAATGCCAACAGGAAAGTATCAGCATGCTTGCCAGAGCTTCAAAAATAAAATAGAGAAAGTTTGTTTGTTTGTGTTTAACTGTAAGGGGCAAGCCATCAAATGAACAGGTAGTAGCTATGGCATGTGAGTTGGAAAAGAAAAACGAAAGGGAGAATGGAATGGAACGATGGAAGACTTTTCTGGAGCTTTTAGCAGGAGCACCCTTGCTAGAGTGTGAGATTACACAGCAACTTTTTGTTGTGGGTACTGCTCATGGCAAATACTAAGCGCAATACTACACCTTTGAACAAGAGGAACTGGCTCTTACTTCTGCAAAGAGCCAAGATGAGCAGCTGTACATACAACATGCTCCCACACACCTAAATAAGGGGCTGCCAGGATGCTTCCTCTTCTTTTTCTTCTGGAAGAATGGAAATTATGCTTACTTCCAGCAGCTGAAAACAGGGTGTAATGGTTAAGAGTACTGGACTGGAACACCAGTTCCAGGAGTTGCCGGTGCTAGTCTGCCACTGACCGTGAAGCTCAGTGGGTGACTTGGGCAGTCGTTGACTCTCAGGCTAACCTACCTCACAGGGCTGTGAAGATAAAACGGAGAGCAGGAGCAGTATGCAAACTCTCTTGGCTTCCTCAGCAGAGGAAAAGAGGAGAAATGAAGTGTGATGATGATAATAGTGCGGTGTAGTGGTTAAGAGCATGGGACTGGGACTCAGGCGATCTGGGTTCAAGTCCCCACTCAGCCATGGAGCCAACTGGGTGACTTTGGGCCAGTCACAGACTCTCAGCCCAACCTACCTCACAGGGTTGTTGTGGGGATAAGATGGAGGAGGAGAGATGATGTAAGCTGCCTTGAGCCCTTTGTAGGAAAAAGGCAGGATATAAATCAAATAAATAAATAAATAAATAAATAAATAAAACTAATCTTAGGATGAGTCCTATAGGATGTCCCCTTGTTTATCATAAATCCCCCAAACCCAGGACCTTACAGACAGTCTAAGCCTAGCACACAGAGTGGCAAAGGTGATCTTTGCCCTGCTCCATCCTTGTTGCTAGATGGAGCTCTTTGTCCCTTGCAGGTGGCATGGAAAGAAAAGGGGTTCTTCTGGTGCCCATCTAGCTGAGGCACTTCACAGGGGCAGAAGAGGAGTCAGAGAGACCCCACGATAGCGCCTGTCCTCCTCTCTTCCACACATGAAGCAAGCCCTGTTCTTTCCGTGCCAGCTGCAAGGGAGCAGGGGAGGGGATTAGGTCAGACTGACTGGCTCAGATTGTCCCCAGTGTCACAGGCAGCTGTGGGTCCCAAATCAGTCACCCCTTGATAGGAGCTATTATTAGTGATGACATAGAGAAAATGCAGAAGAAAATACTTGGTGATAAAATGCAAATAAATTGCTCCACTGAGGCTGCAGGCACACAATTTAGGTTTTATATAAATATTGTTAAATGGATGTGCTGCATGTTCTATATTATTCTGTAACAAGGCAAAAACAAAAATAACAAAAATAGTGGGTCAGCCCAACCAGCAGCAGGAGAGAATCTGCAGAAGGGGGAAGCCTGGGATTGACTGATAAGAGTTTGTCTGCACAGATTTCAAGCACAAGCTGCAGTTCCAGCAAGATGATTCCATTTCAGGATCTCTACGTAAGGGACTTATATGAAGCTGGAGACAATTAAAGCACATTGGGGGGGGGGGGTGCAGTGGTGCTTATGCAACTGGAACTGTTCTTTTGTTAAGTATTCTTTTCTAGAAATTATTTTCTTTGATTTCCAATCAAATAGGTTTTTAATTTTTGGCCTGATTCCTTTTTCTTGATGAAGTTTACAATTTTAGATCCACACAGGTTAAAATACCTGGATGAGCTGGTGACCTGCATTATCCAGTTGGCAGGGTTAGTACAGCAAGCTGGTAAAAAGCAGGCTGATACTGGGAGAGCTGTGTCTTGAGCTGGGGCCCTCCTTTCTTTGGCAGTCTCTTTGCAATGCAGATTGTTACTGGCATTTCTGTTATTGGCACTTTGCAGCTGCAAGACAAAATAACTCCAAAATCTCGCGTTAGGGCAGCTACCTTTTGCTGGAGTCCCTTATGATCCTCACATGGGTAGTCCTGCGTTTTTGTGTGGGGGAGGTGGGCTATAAATGTCATTGAATCATAATGTAGAAGGCTGCCATTCAGAGTCCAATGGAGCACAAAGCTGTTCTGTCCCTCTTCATATGGCACCCTGGACTGCTTCTACAAGCTATCACACAACATCGAAGTGTAATGAAAAGGAAGAGGGGGTTTAAAAGCCCCACTGGCCCTTTGGATCAGGATGGGTTTCAGTGAAATTCATGGCTTAATTTCTATTAATTACTATAAACAGCAACTCTTAAACACACATTAATCCCTTTCCTAAAACATTTAGAGCGACAAAAGAATGAATAGTTTGTACCTCAGCAAGAAGCCTAGATTATGTAAACTGCACCTATTTCTGTATATAAATGTGGTCATTTTAATGAATTATTTTATTGGCAGTGGGAAGAGCTGACTATATTGTGAACGAATCATTGCTGCAAAATGGAGCTTTCACAGTGGGAAGCTGGAGATGTAATGACAAGTTTCATTTCAGCCTGGTGTGAGGAAGCCACAGAATGGATTGTCTCCACGACCATCCAGGAAGGCAGTGATCATGGGCCAAGATTTTCTGATCATCTCTCTTCAGTAGCTCCCACTTCCCATTCAGTTCTAGCAAAGCATAAGACAGAGTAAGCACATTCAGTGAAAGGTAAACTTAAATTAGATATGGAAGGCTAGGGCAGATCCCTCCAAGATATGGCAGTCACCAGATAAAGACGTACCAGTTTCACCCAAATGAGGTGTGATTAAGTGGCAAGCATTCAAAGGGCCCAGGTCCCCATCCTCAACCAGGGTGAACAAGGCTCTCCAGGAATCCTGATGTGGTCCTTGGTGCTGGTCTTTGTTGCCCCTCACTCGAATATTGTGTGATATGCAGCAATCTGGGATTTCCAGCTTTCATGTGCAACACTTCCTTCACCTGTGTAGAAGCCTTGAGGGTGGTTGGGATAAGCAATCACATGGACTATGCCGTTGCACAAAGCATATGTACAACTCTGGCTGGGACAAAGGCAGGAATCAAATGGGGAGGGGAGGAGCTACTGAGGCAACAGCTAAGGCAAAAGATGCTGGTCATGAGACTCATCCTGCCCTGGGCAGTGGGGAAGTACAACCCAATCTGATGTCTCCTCGCACCAGATATGGAATATGTATATTGCCAAAGCATGTGCATATATCTTTGTCTTTATTCTACAATAATGTACATATTTCATAGAAATAAAAGTGCATTTTCCACCTTCACTGGCCTTTGTTCTCATAAACAATGCCACGAGGTAATCCACCAGCCCCAATTTATAAACATGTTTGTTGTTGCTTATCAGATGTAGAATTAACATCCATCCACAAGATAAGACACACCTGTCCCAAGTACTTTTAGCTAGGAAAAAGTCCCACAGGTCACAACATTCCCTTGCCAGCAGGGACTGCACTGCTAGTTTAAAAACTAGGATCATTTGAAATAAACAATCTGGGCTTAATAGCTTATTTAATTCTACTTGCCCTTAGTATCTTTGATGGCCACACAGAATGATCTCCACGTGAATATACAGACCCTCTGAAATGTTCATCTAAAGTGGGAGGAATACCTGCCATGGAGCTCAGATCTTAGTGTGCAGTCATATTGGTGTGCAGCAATTTTTATGAGGCGGTCTGGTTAGTGCTACACAAACTCCTTCCGCCTTCTATTCCCAGCTAGTTTTAAACTGGGCAGTGGTCACCACAGCAGCCATCTGTGTCACCATAATGGTCTGGGATTTATGGCTCTGCAATTAGCATATGCAAGCCATCCATATATTACGTATAATAGGCTAAATCCACTGTTGTTTTCAAAATCCTATATAATTTATTGTTACTAAAAGTTAACTGTTAAAACTGTTTCATATCCTCCCCAGCTAATTAGACATCATCTGAATTTTACGTTTGTACATAGTTCTTATCTGTCTAGTTCTTATCTCTGAAGCAGTTGGATAAGCAAGCTGTTCAGCAAAAAGGTTACACTTAATTGCTAAGTGCTGAATGGACACATCTAACACACATGCACGCACGCACGCACGCAGTTACATCTACCTATGGCAATTTACTCCTGTACTCTGCATAGATCAAATACATTCTCTTAACCTGTGTCTTCAAGGCCTTCTGCACTAGGTATGAATACTGCTGTTATACTGGAATTTCAACAAGAGCTTAGACCACAGAAATTTAAAGAATAGGTGCTTCTTCTCTTTCCTTAAGCTTTCTTCCCGTTCTTACATTGTTAGGAATAAATATGCTGCACAGATCACTCAATGTCTAAACCTTTTGTACCCTAAAATTTGATTTAGTTTGTTTCCGTCCCCAAACTACTGTCTAAACACATTTGTACTGTTTTTACACACAGTCAATCTAGTCAATCAATTTGTATCCAAATGATTTTATTCATGTCCCTACTGTACTGTTCATTTCACTTCTTCCGAAGCAGAGGCTGACAAAATCGGGTGAGGTTAAAATAGATAGTTCACCTACAAAAATATACAAGTGTAACTTTGATTTGTGCATTTGGGAGCAATTAATCCAGATTTGTTCAGAAGTCCTGCTGACCAATGATTATAAAATTGCTCTGATCCTCAGCATCAGTTCACTGAAATATTTTCCGCTGTACATGACTGAATTCAACTTTATTAAAAGGGTCATCATCTGCATCTGGAGTTAGCTGGATGTTGTTATCTTTGATTGGAGACAATGGCTCTGGTTTTCTACAAGAGGGCAGCCTTTCAGACTCCCTGTAAAATGAGACAAAATCATCAGCAAACAATTAGCATTAACTCCATGCAACAATTGGATATTCGTAAGAGTTCCACACTAGTTCAGTCGTACCACGAACCTTTTACAGGTACTTGTAACAAACCAGGGAACCAAAGCTACTGCAGATGCTTTCCTACAGAATGACTGTCCTCTTCAGAGGAACAAAGGGTGCAGTGCTTCTATCACAGCCTTTGTCTCCCAGCAGGAGGTGGGCAGGAAAGAAAGTGCTCCAAAGCAAAACAAGAGGCCTTCTTTTGTCTCAGGACACTGGCTGCAGGACACCTCATTTTCTAGCAGGAATGGAAAAGTGAAGGGACAGCCAGTCACTGGGCTACAACTGGATGCATATATAAATCCACTATCTTTTCCATGCACTGCTGTAAGCTTCCTTTCAACTCTGTATACCTCTCACTTCAGCATTTGTCAATGAGATCCTGAAAGTTGTCACTGCAGTGCAATAGGGAATTGCAGAAAGATTGGCCCAAAACAGTTCCAGTGATAAACTCAATTGCTACTAATTCACTGTGTACATTAGAAGTTGCTTTAAAAGTATTAATTGTCCCAAAAGGGCAACTAATGTTTAATTAATTGTCCTAAAAGTTAACCGATGCCTAATATAACTTGAAATAAACCCTTCTCACCTATGCTTGAGCAGGATTTATTTGAACAGGTCTACAGATACCTTTGCACAGCTAGTGAGCTCTTACTAAAGGAAATCCACTTTAATCTAAAATACATAATTATTTAGCTGGCATAGCTGAAAAAGAATAGTAAACGTGAATGAATGTAAAACAGCTGCAGTTTGATTTTTCAACTCTCAGGTGTACAACACTGACTAATAAAGATTATTGCAAGAGCAGACTCCACTTTTATAAGTTAATTATCTTAGTTTCAGTTTATCCACCACATATAATTACATGTTCACCATGCTGATGAGGTGTCTAGCACATTGTCTTATCTTGTTTGTCTTATGATCAGTTTCAGTTTTCACAGCCTGAGGATGTGGACCAGACACTTATATTTGTACGACCCACCACATGCTTCCTCTCAGTCCTTGCACTTCACGGTTTATTCAGTCCATCCACAGACTGGATGGGTCAGAGAGGGGCAACAGTGCTGCGTGACCATGCAGCCCTTCCTGCCTTGGAAGAAGCTATGGTGGACCCACTCCTGAAAAACCCTCCCTTGAGCCCATATTGCATATCCTACCCCCACTTGGGGGTTGTTGTGTCATGTGAATGTGGTGAGTGTGAATGCGAGGGTGAAGCAACCCTAAAACAGGCAGTGGGTCATGTGAAGGTTGTTTACCCCTTGTATAACCAACACTTAACCAGGTTCACACAACACCCCCTGAGCAGGGGGTGGCATATTCAGAATGGCATTTATACATGACACTGCCTCACGGTGGGGCTATAACCCACAGTGAGCCCTACTGAGAACAGCCCTACTGTCTCACCAACAATATCTCATATTTACGCAATCTTTAAATAAAGTTACTTGATACTCTTAAAGGAGCCAGTGCCATGGTTAGAATGCTGGACTGGGACTTGGGAGATGGGTGTTCTAGACCTTCCTTGGCCATGAAACTCAGTGGGCGACTTAGGGCCAGTCACAGACTCTCAGCCTAACCTACCTCGTTGTGAGGATAAAATGGAAAGGAGAACCTTGTGAACCTCGCTGGGTTCCTTTTAAGAGGAAGGCAGGGTATACATGAAATATAATCATTATGTTATTTTGCTAAATAAGAGTTACCTTTTAAACTGGAAATTCTTCCACAATTCATTAATCTTCACCTGCTGCTCTGACTTATTTTCTGCATTGTGATGGTTTTTCCTCTTTGTTCCAAGCATTTTCTTGCTTAAACCACTTGCTTTGGCAGGCAACAGTGACTTGCACTTTGTCACAGCACACGATTGCACAGAACTGGTTTTACATAAACCAGGGACCTGAAGACACAGAGGGAAATATAATCAGCTCTTTTACTGAAGTCTTATGATGTGCAGTATGAAGACCACATTGCACCAATACGCAAGGGACAAATGTAGGTCAATGAAAAATGCAAAAACAGCATTTGAACAAATTCTAAGCCTATGTGATCTTTTTACCAACACAAAGCTGTTGGTTTCCAAAATAGCTTTCAGAGAGTGTGTATATTACACACAAACACTTCTTTGTGAGTAAGGTAACTAAGAATAAACTTGTCCTTAGCTACAAAAATAGGAATGAGTTCTCACTAAACACACATAACAGAACTGTGTAAAATAGGATCTGATTATCCTGGGAAGTTTTGTGTAACCCCTTAGGCACTACTTTGTCACTCAGGTGCCATGACCGGGAAGGCATTCTGATTTCTTTTATTTCTGCCAGTCTTTAACATAGAACTATTAACACTATATAGGTATTAGTTTGCTCAGGGAACACAACTGTCATATCCACACAGGTCTGGACTATCAGAATATTCTTCAGCTAGTTTGTGTGAAATAATTATTTGTATGTCACTTTTCAAAATATTTGCACATCTGTGATACTATTTCTCTCAACAAAATATCTGTAATTTATACTGGTGCTACCATTAAAAAATAGTAATTTTGAAATGCATGCTGTGTGTGTGTGTGTGTGTGTGTGTGTGTGTGTGTGTGTACACCTCCCCAAGGCCACATGTGTTAGAGAAACATTGTTATTATTCCTTCGTTTAAAAAGATCTAAATCCTGCCTTTTTATTTGGAAAATAAAAACAGACAATGCTCAGGATAGGTTATAACAATATGAATAGTAAAGGTATCAACATATTTTAAATATTAAATATATAAAATCAAACTATCCATTAAACAAGACAGTGTGAGCTGAATGAAAATATGCTGCACAAGCATGTCTTCACATACACACAGGAAATAACTAGGAAATAGAACTCTTTCCAACAGTCAAGCCACTAGCCACAAGATGTCAGTATAATTCTAAGGAATACAACTTGCAGTTCAGATCTGTATAAATGATGTACAATGTATGTAACATTGCATAAAAGAAGTCTAATAAAATTGCTGGGACTGTTCATTAGAACGTCATCCAGCCTCCTTTGAGCAATCACAGAAAAAGAACAGCTAAAGACATACATGCCAGTTGGCACAATTTTTTCAAGGCTTTCTTTATATTAAGTATTTTTCAAATGTTTTCAGCAGTATCTCCAATGAGAAGGCTCCACCTTGTTTATTACCACAAAGTACAATCCCATCATCAATGCTCAGCACAGGCTTATCGTTACCTAGAAAGCCCCCAACCTAGATGACATTCCCTAAACAAGGCAAACTTTAACTAAGGAAGCTAAACTAGAGTAGCAGGAGAACCCTGCAAAGACCCACTTTAGAGAATCCCTTAAACCATGTTTGTAGGTAATAGGAACAAGTCATGGTGAGTCTTGGGCTACTGCTCCCCGTAGCTAATACAGTTTTCCCCTACCTGGTTTGCCTGTAGTTGTGGTGGACTGCAACTCCTGTTCCCAGCCGGCATGGTCAATTACCGTGCTGGCTCGAGGTGATGGGCGCTGCAGTCCAGCACACCTGGAGGCCGACTACAGTTTTGTAGAGTGCTCTCAACTCTGCATGCTCTATTTAGTCAGACTCCTCAGGCAACACGTAGCCCTCCACATGTTTTGGCCTACAGCTCCCATGGCCCTAGCCATTGGTTATGCTGGCTTGGGCTGATGAAAGTTGTAAGCCAAACATCTGGGCAGTCACAAGCTGCCTACTCCTACTATAAAGTAAGTCACTGTCCCCGGGGTTACCGGTGGGAGGACTGAGGCTAAGCAAGAATGGCTTGCCTAAGGCCCCCCAGGGAACTCATGACAGAGATGGGTTTTAAACCGAGGGATCCTGATTCACAGTGCAGTCTCTTAACTACAATACTCCGTTTCAATAATGAATTTGGGAGGACCCATAGTTTGATTTTAGTCTGGTTTCAACACATTTTGGTTAAAACAAGCCAGAGTTCCCCAAGTTCGTGCATGATACAGAACTGCGGGTCTTGTGCATGTAAAGGAGAGAGAAGAGGGAAGGCTGCAGGTCTGAGACAGTTTCCGTCAGCCAAGAGGTGATTGTCTGAGCAAGGCCTAACCTTGCTTCAAGTAAGACATTATATGGAGTTCTAAACAGGAAAGAGGAAGGACAGATTTAAAGGGGTGGGGAATCATACCGTATTCTTGTGGACTGTATCCTTACTCTCCGTACATACTGGAAGTGGAGACATCTGAGAATTCTGGTTACAATCTGGTTCTGGGTTGTGGTCAGATTCCTTTGATTGGGGGAAAAAGATTCTGTTATTCTATTCAAAGGAGTAGAACTATCAAATCTAATTTTCAGGGACTGCTAAAGGGATATTAGAGTTGCAATTCTATCTCCACTTGAATTCAGTGGGACTTACTTCTGAGTCATCCTACGGGGGATTGCTCTCCAAGGAAATGTAAATACATTGGTTGCAATTTTATGCTTTATCAGAATAAGAAGATATTGATGCAATAGGCAGGCAGACAGCAAACACAAGCCAAGAATTTCATCATCTGAAGTCATTTTATATTGGAGAGCAGGATGTTGAACTATTGCCATAAATAAGGTGAGCACAAGACAGCTGTGACAGCTGAACAATTTGCTTAACTGAAACACTTACTGGGCCAGAAACAACTTTTGTCTTCACTCCTAGAAAATTTTCTGAATGATTCAGGCTGCTTTGTGGCAATGTCCTAAGCTCCTGTTCCAAAGGACACTTGAGTCCTTCCATAGGTGACGGTTCTTCACCTAAATGTTTTCTTGTTGTGGAGCTCAGTGTTTGGGATCCAGATACTGTACAGCCCTGTGGAATGACTTTGTTGGGTGTCTGTTGGTGGAACTGCTTTAGCAAAGCTACACTTTGAGATGGGCTAGGTGTTCCAGATCTTTCTGCAAGGCTTCTAGACCAACTGAAGCAACTTGTCCGCACTGCCTTAAGCGATGGTGGGATGGTTTTTCCAGTCTCTGATGAACAAGGATTGTGGTCTTCCGTTACTCTATTTTGTGTTTCCATCACTGGACAATTCCCTTTATTGTCTTTTGATGGTTGGTCATTTTTACCCTTTGATAAGTTGCCAGGCAGATCCATAATATTGCAGAAGAACCTAATGTACAATGCAGAAACATCAGAATAAATTAGGATGGAGGGATCATGGGAAACACAGAGGGTAACTATTAGTGGGGAATCATCGGGTTGGTGGCCAGCGACAAGCGGGAATGCCAGGGCTCTGTCCTGGGACCAATCCTGTTCAATCTTTTCATCAAAAACATGGAAGAAGGGGTGACCAGTCTGCTGATCAAGAGGTATTACTACCACTCTATATGACTCTGGTGCGCCCGCAACTGGAGTATTGTGTTCAGTTCCAGGCTCCCCATTACAGGAAGGATATAGCCAGGTTGGAGTCAGTGCAGCGTAGGTGGCCAGATTGCACGAGGATGGTGGCCAGATTGCAGGGAAAGCCATGAGGCGAGACTGAGGGAACTGGGTCTTTTCAGCCTGGAGGAGACTCTGAGGGGATCTGTTGGCGACATGTAGGTACGTGGAGGGATGTCATATGGAGGTAGGTAGAGACCTGTTTTCCCCTGCATAGGAGGGCAGGATGCATTCCAATGGAGCAAAGCTCAGGGAACCAAGGTTCAATTTGGATGCCAGGAAGTTCTTCCTGACAGACAGGACCCCAAGGGTATGGAATGGCTTCCAGGAGAGGTGGTTGAAGCCCCATTGGTGAGGGTGCTCACGGATAGGCTGGACATGCACAGTGGAGCCGGCTGGAGCCGGGGGTCAGACTAGATGGCCAGGGAGACCCATTCTGACTCACTGTTTCTATGTAACACTGTTTTATCTGTCTGCAGAAACTGAGCTCAGATTTCACTGGAAGAGACTGAGAACTTTTTTTTTAAAATGTAATACATGTCACTTTCTGACGAAAGGTAAAGAAGCACTTGGAAAGTAGTGAATCATAGGAAACATGGCCCAGACTCTCCATACCACTCTAAATAGCTCGACTTACTAGATTGGCTACAGTGCCAAATATAGCAGCTGAGACAGGTTTATCACTAATTTTTAATAATTTTGTCCTAGCAAAAATCCTCTTAGTGTCAGCATGGTAGAAGTGAGCCTTTGGAATTGGAGACGCTAGAGGCATCACAGGGCTTTATTACATATGCAGCATAGTCAGAATGTGCAGGGACTCAAAAGGTCAGTTATCATTATAAAGTAGATTCTAGAGGAATAGCAATTACATGTCCCACATATGATCATGCCCATCCATTATATACCATAAAACACAGATAATGTTAATGTTTGAATGTGCTTGGAGTCTCTTTTTAGTAGCTGAATTTAGAAAACAAACAAGTCTTTTGTAACTGTAGGCTCATCTCCTTTTTTTACTCTCTTCATTTTTTTAAAGTCACAGAGTTCACACATCTATAAGAATATGCATTAAGGAAACCCAGTATCCATACATACTGTGTACGCATTCTTACTCTGAGAAGTGCAAAAGCAGGAGGTGGAAATGTGACCAGAAAGCAATATGGCCTTGCATACAGCTTGCATCAAAGGCTCCAATCAAAATTTTTGCTGGAAGGGGGAACATTTTTTAAAGAGGCAAACTGTTGAGAATGTTTCTTGTTTCTGGGCTAAGTGATACCTTCATGCCCTTGCAAAAATATACTCCATCTAATTCAGTGCTTAGAGGGTGAAATATGGACAGTAATTAAGGAAAAGCAGTAATGCTGTGCTGCTGAATAAAGCAATCTGAGTATTTATAAATGTCTCCAGTCTTGAACAAAACATGGTGTTCCTGCTGAAAACACTGGGAGGTTCCTAGAACCTTGGGATGCATCTGTACAGATTGGTGATATGGCACTTGGGCATTGAAATGACTGTGGTCTTTGGTTCCAGTTCAGACGTCAGCTTATGAATTGTTGTTAGATTAACTCTGGGTTGTTTAATTCACGGACATAGAATGCCTGCGTTCTGATGTCACACTTCCAACAGAATGTTCATGCACTGTTTAAGCAAACTGGAAGTAACTCCCATTATTAGCCACCATGACATATAAACTGGCCCAAAGGAATCTTCCCTCACCAAGTCTACCAATCACTCACCAACATCCCCTTTCATCCAGCAGATATTACAGAGCATTTAGAATGATTAGAGATGGAACATGACCCAGATCCCATTGAATAAAAACCACACATCTATTTAAGTTTTGCCATATCTAAACTGCTAGTACCAGGGGCCAGTTTGGTTATTCTTCAGGCATGTCACACTTTCAAAGTGATTTTTTTAAAAAAATGTTTATATGTTAAAACCACCTGAAAGCTGCTCTGATCAGGATGCATCATGTCCTAATTCAGTTTTCCTTTGGAATTTTGGAAGGTGGCAAATCACAATCCAAAATGCAGGAATGCTGTAACAGGAGGGTACCTAATGTCACTGTCTGTTTACACATACACCAATTTTACTTGCTGAAAACATCAGTGAATAAGGAAAGCAACAGTGGGCAACATTTTGCTGTCTCTGAGCCTGCTTTGCAACTTGTCCTGTCCTGGCCAGGCCAGCAGTACAAAAGGCTGTCATGGCCATCTACCTACCATCTTTATTTCTTAAGTCGCCCAGAGGCATTAATGGGAAACAAAGATAGCAGCAGCTGGAGACCCTCTGTTTACTTTGAAGCAATCGCAGCTGCCACTAAGAAAATTTTGTTTTTACAAAGATAAAATAAAATGTAGGGTAGGAATGACAGCTCGGCTAACATCAGAATAGGTGCCCGAGGCCCTCAGCACCACACTGCTTCCCTCCCCCTGGGTAGAGTATTTTGGAAGTAACCTGGTGTAATAGTCTCATTTACTCATGTGCTATGTGAACCACAGGCCATTGTTTGAGGTCTCTGGTATTCTGCTCTTGAATTCTATACTACCACCTTTTATAAACAAAGGGAAAAGGCAGAATCAACTTCCTTAAACATGTAAATTTGACACAAATAACTTAGAGAGACCATACCTACTTCTGGTCCCTGGAACAACAACTGCGCCACTTTCTTCATTCTTCTTCTGCAGAAGGAAGGCAAATTTATTTCTCAGCCTAGACTGAGAGTTTGAACTCTCTTTGTTTTTGCAGGAGTCCGTTGAAACATGGATCTGAGACAGAGGACTAACAACCTCATGTTGCTCTCCATCTTCACTTTTTTCAGTCTTGGGTTTTTTTGTGTTTGAAAAATATTGGTCCAGCAGCTCTTCTTCTGTTAGCTCATCTAAATATATATATAAATAATAGTTTCATCATAGTAGAAAGATGTTGCAAAGAAGTTTTTAGAGAAACTTTGAATGACCTTCTCCAACACACAAAATATTTGACAAGCAAAGTAGATAAGCAAAGTTAATATGCTTTCTTTTCAGAGAAGAACAAATGCTAAGGTATCAAATATTTAGTCACTATATCAATTTACACCTCTAGCAGAGAAGCAGATGAATGAGCAAAGCTGTTCTTAAAAATATTATGAAATATGTTGTCATGAGTTGGTCATGTTACTTATTCCTTCAAAGTGTTTATAAAAAGGGATACAAATGGGATCATCAAAAGAAACATGCTCTGAGGAAAACTGGTTTTGAGCCTGAAGACTGCCCTGTCATTTAAAGAAGAGCATCAGCATTTTTCTTTTCACATATGACATCGTCAGATATGGAGCATCTTACCATGCCTTGGCCTTTTTGCCAAAAGTGCTTTGCTGGGAAGTTTCAGCCCTTTCGTGTTGACTATCCTCTCTATGCCTCTGGTTGCAGGCTTCTCCAGCAAGGGTGCCGAGTTTGTGGTTACCTTGGCAGTGAAACCAGGTTCGTAGTCTCTATTCCAAAGGCCCTTCAGATGGGATGGCTTCTCGCCCACACACCTGTCATCCCAGCCATGACTTCTTGGCTGCACAGGCTATAGCCAAAGTCACCAGAAAGAAACAGGAGGAGGAGGGAGGAAGGAGACAGAGGAGGAAGAGTGGCTTGAGTCTGTTTTCCCATGACAGTGAAGCATCAGCAAAATCAGCCCGCACTTTGGTCAAGTTTTCCCAGCCCATTTTGCCACTGGTACTGACTGGATGGAATCTGGGATAGTGGTCAAGCCACTCCCAGTAGGACCGTTGCTCCATCAACTACAGCCCATGAATTGTTGAAACACAGTAGCTGCCTATATGGCACAGTCCTGATACTTTCACATTACACAGACAGCTGCTCCACCACTCCCCTAGCTTGACTTGCTGTTTGAGTGCAACAAGTACATGAAAGTAATATTTTTCAAAACAACTCTCTACACCCCCAAAAATAACAGCTTTACATAACTGTCAAAGGCTTCTCTATCAGCTGACTGTCATTTTTGAGACTGGTATCCTTTGTGTCCCTAGGCAGGGCTCATTAATAAAGAATTATACTGTGGATGCAGAATGCTATATATACCAAACCGGGCATGAATATCTTTGTCTCTGACGGTTCCCCCACAAGGCAGGCCAAGACACAGCTACACATTTGCTACACAACCTCAAAGATAATTTGGCATGTGTATCAGAGAGCAAACATCACCTGTGAAGCATCTGGGTTATAGTGATCAATTTGCTCCATTGTATTGATATCTTTATTTCCAAGTGCAATTTGAAAAGCTGTACTGTCACCAAAATGTCTAAATTGATTGAGTTAAGAAAAATGTTGTTTTTATACTGGTCCTTTTCTTCTCCCAAGAATGTTATGTCATACAGATTCCTGGACCCTAAATAAATGGTAAAAGTGCTCAGGTAGCCACAGGTTGCGTGGAAAGGAAAGGAACAAGGAAGGTCTTCATTATTTGCTTTAAAAGGATTAATGTCTCATAATCACTTTATATCACTGTTTAGCTGAAGATTAAAGCCAAACATCTGACTCAATGCTTCTTATTCTTAATCCACTGAAAATTCCTGAAATAAAATAGGAAACTTCACTGCAGTAGGCAGTGATTAAGCAATTGTGTAGGTTATCTGACAGCATTCCAGTTTACTTAAGTTTAGCACTATCCCAAAGGGGTAAAAAGAACACTACATAAAATCTGAATGTGAACTGATCTAGGAAGAAACAGCTACATTTGTTTTTACGGTAAAGTTCAATGATAATTGAAGACTTAGCCATTTTGAATGGAAAAGTTATAGTGGTGATTCTGGAGGCTCTAACACTTTAGAAAGTCTTCCTCAGAATAAAGCACAGTTTAGTCCTTTAAGCTGAGATGTCTAAAAGAGCCGAGTATAGTATGAATGTTACATTTAAGTAAGAGAAAAGATGGCCAAATTATTCAGCCACTTATATTATACTTTACAGAACTGTGAAAAAGGCCTTTCTTTGGAAAACCAGTCTCAGAAAAGGTAAGGCAAATGTCTATATTAAGCCATTGCTGTTTTTGGACCAACTTAAAATTATATCCTACTATTAATTTTGAAAAATGACACTAGACACAAGCCAACCAACTTAAATGGTTTTTAGATCTATATACTTCAGTACTTAACACATCATTATATATTACCGAGTCTTCTGCCTGTCACCTAGCAAGTTGCTGAGTTCAGTAGGGTTAACTTTCACATATATATGAATAGACTGCAGGGTAAGCCGCCCCGAGGCTTCGGCGAATGGGGCGGCATAAAAATGTTTTAATAAGAATAAGAATAAGAAGTGCTTAACTGTGCTTGGAACCACAGAGATACAAGGACAGTGAAGGTGCTATAAACAAATAGATTTTTTACTGGATAAAGGATACCGCCCTGCATAAAGCAGCATTTCTGGATCAACATCATCTTTATAAGCATTCAAAGGAACAAGTTTCCTCCTGACTGGGTCAAAAACCAACTGATATAGGAAAGTATTATTAGCACGAATAAAACCTTGTATATATTCTTCTGGTACCACAATATTCATCTTTAAATACTGTCCCATTTTCCGAATGATCTGGCCAAAAAAACAAAACAAAACACCACATATGTTAGATAATTTTCAGCTTACTTAAGTGAGATAGTAGACACAATGACAGGGACCCTTAGTTCCTTCTCTGGTCACATTTAAGTCACAAGTTCCAGCAGTCCTCCCACCCACACTCCACTGGAAACTTCCTACACCATTCCTAGGGCTTTCCTAAGAGGTCTATGAGAACAGGAGAATTTACTTGAAATATCTCTAAACAGATCAACAATTAAATTGAGTACCTTCCCAAAGCAGGGATTTATCCTCACTTTCTGTGGAAGTCCTTGGAAATGTAAAACCAATCAAGATCCAGTGAACATCACATTACCTTTATAATGTCAGGATTGTTGGCGATTTTTAGTAGCTTGCATGCCTTGCCCAATCCGATACCATGAATTGATGGAAGGTAGTCACAGCCAGACAGAATACACATGTAGCGGAATTTTTCTTCTGTAAATCCATCTCCAAGCTGTTTGCACATTCCTAATCGAGCTTGATCAATTTCAATGCCATGTCCAGATTTGTCAATTTTGAGGAATACCTTTAAAAAATTGAATGGTTGCATTTCATATACAGGATATAGTGATACACAGCATGCTTTCCCAATAATCAATGTATCTTTTAATAGATGTTTTCTTATAAATCAATACAATTAAAGTTTCTGTAAATATTTTTGTATCTCTCACAGGCCTTTGCTCCTATGATGACATTTACTATAACCCAATGCTCTCAGCACCAGTGTCAGTATCTTGCTTGCAATTACTATGCTTGTGAGAAACCTGTTAACAAAAATTTAAAAAGCACTTGTAGAGCTGTTTAAAGACCTTCACATAGTACTGCTGTATCAATATGCCTTTAAAATAGGCCAAAGCTGTTATCCCAATATTGCAAATGGGGAAGAGGAAGCTGAGATGTACTGATCTGAAGTCCCCATGTGGGTTCATGGTTAGGTAGAGACTTGAAGTAGGGACTTCACAGCTCGCCGTTCATCCTGTTTCTTACTGCATGCCAGCAAAGGCCTTCTGCAGACTTTGAGGGAAGGAAATATGAGCAGTTGATGCATGACTTTGGGCACTTTGGAACAGAAAGCTTGATAAGAAATACAAGAAATTTGGAGATCCACTCTCCTGAACCTTATACAGCCCTAAACCACAGGGAATTAATTACTCAGCCCCATGCCCTCCCTCACCTTCCTCTCATCAGAGACCCTTGAGATGCAGATTGCCTTGCAGCAAGGCAGGGAGCTGAACTGGCATAGGAGAGGGAAGCGAGCAGCCCTCCAGAAGTTAGACTACAACTCCTACCAGCACGGCCAACGGTCAGAGCCACAGTTCCTGACTCCAGAACTAAAAGAAGGTGTCCCACTTTTGGAGAGTCTAGTTTTATACTCACCTCTACCATGAACTCACTTGGTGACCTTAGATAATATCATGCTTTGTTAACTAACAAACAACGTCCTTCCCTATTTCCTTTTCTCAGACCCAACTAATATTTCTGGTTTTTAATTGACATGTGCCAATGACTCACCGAAGTTTGGTCCCATAGCCTATGTTCATTGCAAATGGGATGCCTACTCATGCAAAACCGAATTCTGTCAAGTGTCTTCACTGAAAAGCCAAGTCCACTTACTGAAAAGTCAAGACCAAGCAACAATATTTCTGTGCCAGGCCATGTAGGATTAAGGATCTAAGTTTGAGCCCTGGCATCCATCTTTTAGTACTGGACATTTCCTACCTTTTTACATCCAAAAGCAAGAAGATCAGAATCTTCTGTAATTATTGCCTGGACTATGCCCATCTTGTTCAGGTAGGCTAGCTGAGCATCAGCTTCATATGGCGCAACAATGCAGTCAATCCCTCGGGCTCGAGCGGCCTGCAAAGAGGAAACCCCAACAAACGGATGGCATTTGTGAATTTGTCATTATAACAGTTCATATTAATAGATGAAGTCACTTTACATCAAATGGGATTACCCAGCCTAACCAAGCACAGATTTTCCTATTCTCATTTAGCATGTTTCTAAGGTCCTGGCTTTATATAAGTGAAGCTTTTGTATGTAACATACCTGTTCCACCATAATTAGAGACTGAAAAAATGGAAAAATATTTGTTGGGGTGTCCAGTTTTTTTAGTGCTGTTTTTTATTTGGATTATGGGAGTTTCTCTCAGAATTATCAATAGAATTTTAAGGAGAAGGTATTTATGTACTGTTATGCAGCTTTGACTCCCCCCAGATGATGTCTAGAAGCAATGTAAAAAACCTTTTACAGAAAAACTAGAGATGTACAATTTCTGAAAATCAAGAAAGGGAATGCTTTTTTAATCCACTCTGTTAAAGTTCTAGTGCATTAATTCTTTTCATTCTTTATTTAAGTTATTAATTCAATGTTTCTTTTGCTGATAGGTATGTAAGGATGCTCCAAGGCATGCTCACTTCCCCAACATGAGAGTAGAGCTATTACATCATAATATGGAGGAAAATGTATATTCTTGACAGTTTAGGTTTTATTCTATAGGATCCTGTGTTTATGAGTTTGTTCTAAGTTGTACTTACTGTATTAAGTTGTAACAGTAAATAAATACAGTTCTTACCTAAAACCCACATGTGAAAGAAATACTGGTTATCCCTCCACAGCCACCACCTGTGATAGAATGGCATGTGGGCTTTTCAACTAATTTTATCTTTAAAAAATAACTTTGAGGTTTGGCTCTATGGAAGCTGTTGCCACAGTTGTTAATATTGTCCCAAATTAAAATCACTACTAGGGAATTCTGTCCCAACTAGAAAACCTTTTAACCACTGCCACTAGAATAAGTCCCTCTCTCCAAAAGAAATTCATTAGTTTGGTTCCTATGACAAAAGCATGGGATCGACATCACCACTAGAGACAACCTTTCAAAGGAACAGAAAAGGAACAAAAATCAACACATCTATTTTCACCAGTCTCTGTGGCCAGGGCTAGCAGGGTTGGGAAAAGAGCAAAACATTATCGCAAGCAGTTTCCTCTATGGTGACAATAGCACCCTGTCCATGCCCCATTAAGTTTCTTGCATCTTCTCTAGCTTCACCACACAATATCCTAGTAGCTTCTACCAGCCACTGACTACTTTCCTAGCTACAGAAGTTGAGATCTGGGTGTCCTAGCACCCTTGTTTTTAGAGGTCTTCATGCAAAGAGCAATGAGAGCGCTGGGGATGGGGTGCACCCTGCCTCCCTACCCCGTGAGGTACTGCAGGAGCTTTCCCCCTCCCTTGCCACTTTCACTGGGGTGGCAGACAGGGGAGCAGTGACAGCTGACAGCTCTCACCCTGACTCAGACGTGGTACATAATAAGGGGCCCCAAGCCAGCCCCTTTCCCCACATCCGGGACTGCCACTGGCAAGCACCCACAGTTCCAGATGAGCAAGGTGAGCCACAGTCCCCACTGGTGCTCAACAGGAGGCGGCAGCAAGGAGGGCAATCCTGGGGAAATGCTTGACAGCTGCCCCACTCTGTGCACTCCGGGGGTGGCTGGCAGCAGCCCTTTCAGAGAGCCACTTGGCATGAGCATCAAGAAGATTTTGCTGCTGTTGCCCACTGAGTCTCTTGTACTTGGGCTTGACAAGCCATCCTGAGTAAGCCAAGGAGAGCTGTAAGCTTGGGATGATTGCCTGGATTGTGCCAGGTTAGATTGCAGGTTTTCAGTCCCTCCGTATAGTCCTTCCACTTAGAAAACAACATGTCAGGGAAAAGTCTTATAAGCTAATTTTCTACACAATTGATTGTTTGCTGGTGGGTTCTTGTTTGTTTTTTGCAGTATGGAAGACCTTTTGGTCACGTGAGCTCAGATCTGCAGCCTGAAATGGTATGGCCCAGATACCTCTTTAAGAATTAGAACTTCTACTTTATACTTCCAAAATACAGAAGTCTATACTACGATAATTATATTAAAGCTTAAATATAAAGTGAAAAAGTTGCACTGACCTTGTATGATGCCCTTTCTTCACAGAAGTTCACAACAGCATGTTGCTGCAGTTGTTAAAACATGTAATTTTTGTGTCACTGGCCCTTCTCTATCATGCAAACTTTAGGGTTATCCAAAAGAAAAATATAATATCAAGAAATATAAAGGGGAAGGTGGTCACAGAACATACTACCCTCAAAGACATACTACTTACTTTAATAACTTCACGGGCCATAGCATGTGTTACATTAACACTACGTGCAAAACATTCTCGAGCTTCTGATAATTTTCCTTCACGGAGCAGCTGTTTCCCCTTTAGAAGATTTGCTTGCCGTTTCCTTCAAAATACAAATAAATCCATCATCTCTGCATCATGTAACTCTAACCAAATAAGTAGGCATCACTGGTAATGTACTGCATGCGAGATACACAATTGTATAATCTTAGAGACCAGGAATGTAAGTCAGACATAAAAAGGTAACAAGAGAACAAGTAAAAAAAGGACAGAAGTAATTCGCTCTAGTTTTAGTAAGAGCTCATTGCAATTTTGAGCAGGCTGACTTATTAAAAGATCAATTTTAAAATAGATTTAAAATCTTATTAAAATGCAACAGTGGCCAGACTCTGTGAGAGTCACATATTGCATATTCACATATTGCATCCTAAACACACAGGAAGCAATATGCACTTCAGTGTACACTAAAATCACATACGTTACAGTGGAATTCAGTTGCATTAACCTTTTTGTATTAAGCCTACTATTTCATCCTGCTATTGGGATGAAACAACAGTGTGGCGTCTTAAACAGTAACCAGTTTAGGCTGCAGTCATATGCATGTTTAAACAGAAAAATGTCCTACAATTCCAACCTTTCCTCAGCTGACTGCTGACTGGGAAATGCTGGGGCTTGTAGAACTTTTTTGTAGTCTAAAAATTCATAGGATTGGGCCATTACTCTGGCATAAGCTTTGGAGGGCACTGAAGTGGAAGAATGGTTAAATGTGCCACTATATTCTTTGCCAACTTCTTAACACATCTACCAAGTAGTGATCATTAATTGGGATAGATTCTAAAGTTAGGATATAAGTAATTCCATTAGCATACTCCAAAGCTTTGTTCTTTCCCAAATTCCACTCCAACTGCAACTCCTCATGCTAACTGGAGACGTCTCTTCTGTAACTTCCTAGAGTTGCTTTTCAGAAAGCGGGAGATAGGGGCCATGTCAGTGGATTTTCACTGGTGCAATGGGTTTTCCCCACCTTCCCCTTTGTTCTGTACTGCACCTCCAGGAATCCATTCTGGAGCAGATTTGGGGGAAGGGAGGGGAATCTGTTCCATCAACCATTTCCCTTCCATTGGCAGAACCAAATCAGCCAATCCAAGTTGAGGGCTTAAGATAAGAAGTTGCTTTGCATGCAGATCTTTGAATCCCACCTAACCTGTTCTGTATCTCAACTCTGTGCAAACAGATGTGTCTCCTTAAAAGGCAAAATCTTTATACTGCAGCATCCTGCAAGATAGCTGAGATTTAAACACAATTTTTAGCATAGATTTCAACACCAGGCTGTTCATAATGTCCTGTTTTATAGTCTGATCTTATTAAATAGCTCAAGATGATATTCAAATTGTTTTACAAGAGCTTCAACCTTTAAAGTATGCTTATATCTTGCATTTTAATAGTATCCAACATTGTAGATTAAGTATTTTGTAGTAATAGTCTGAATTTTAATTGGTAAGATGGGGAAGCTTCTGTGCCCAACATCTTACAAAACAAGAAATGACTTACTCTCTTCGAGACTTTTCAACTTCCTTTTTGGAAGGCAGTGTACATCCATCAAATACTAGAATAGGCTTGACCCCAAATGACAGAAGCATATCCACATGTTTCATGCAGTAAGTTACATATCTGTTGAAAGAAACCACACTTGTAACATTTATTTATTTGATTTCTATCCTGCCCATTAGCCAAAATGGCTTTCTGGGCAGGTCACAAAATATATCCATCATGATTCCTTCCTTTTAATCCTAAAATGTAAATTGCTAGGCAGAAAGTGAAGAGGAACTAAAGAGCTTCTTGATGCGGGTGAAGGAGGAGAGCACAAAAGTTGGCTTGAAACTCATTAAGAAAACTAAGACCATGGCATCTGGTCCTATCACTTCCTGCCAAACAGATGGGGAAGAAATGGAGGTAGTGACAGATTTTATTTTTCTAGGCTCCAAGATCACCACAGACAATGACTGCAGCCAAGAAATTAAAAGATGCTTGCTCCTTGGGAGGAAAGCTATGGCAAATCTAGACAGCATACTAAAAAGCAGAGACATCACCCTTCCAACAAAAGTGTGTATAGTCAAGGCTATGGTTTTCTCAGTTGCAATGTATGGCTGTGAAAATTGGACCATAAGGAAGGCTGAGTACTGAAGGATTGAGGCCTTTGAATTGTGGTGCTGGAGAAGACTCCTGTGAGTCCCTTGGACCTCAAGGCAATCAAACCGGTCAGTCCTAGAGGAGATCAACCCTGACTGCTCTTTAGAAGGCCAGATACTGAAGATGAAACTCAAATACTTTGGCCACGTAATGAGGAGGAAGGACTCCCTGGAGAAGAGCCTAATGCTGGGAACAATTGAAGGCAAAAGAAGAAGGGGACGGCAGAGAATGGGGTGACAAGATGGAGTCACTGAAGCAGTTGGTGTGAGCTTTGGTGGACTCCGGGGGATGGTGGAGGACAGGAAGGCCTGGAGGAATGTTGTCCATGGGGTTGCGATGGGTTGGATGCAACTTCGCAACTAACAACAACAACAGAGTTAAGGCAAATCTACCTCTGGAATGTCAAAACATCCACAAGTGATATCAGGTGATACGCTGATGCTGCTGTTGGCATCACAGTCCTGAAAACAGATTTCTATGCCTAATCCAGCAATTAGCTACTGAAGCAACGGAGGGGCATGAATTGACCATGCCAATTGAACTAAGGCTAATTGTATTAAATATATCCTACAGATCATGCAAGATGAGCCCTCCTCATTTCATCTCATATATGGATTTAAAATGGGTATCAGTGACTAAGAGTATCACAGAAGATTCTCACTTTTTCCAGACCTTTTAAATTTTTTGGCTGCAATCCTACACACCAGCTATTTAAATTTATTGATTTAATGGGAGCTAAGGACCCTACCACAAGGCTGCCGCTTTCATAAGCCATTCACAAATTAACATTATTCCTCCAAGATTACTTCATGCTTTTGACAGCATGGCAGGGAGCACACTGAATTTTCTGAGTTCCTTCTTGGCTTTTGCAGAATGGTGATTAACTGCTTTTGCCCATATCTTAATATATGAGTATTTTTTCAATGAGTACTACATTTAGCATTAAAGACTGCAATTCACAACCTATTTACCTCAGAACAACCAATTTACCTGCTCTGATGTGAATGGGTTATGGCTAACAGCAAAAACATCCCCTATTTTAACAAGCATCAATCCTGTCAGTCAAATTACTTTAAACATACTGATCAGTGGGTTCTCCTTTGGCTAGCTTTTCAGAACACGCATAGGCTCCTTTGTGCAACCAGCAGTAAGTATCCACAGCAACCACCTGTCCTTTGTACTTCTTCACATGAGCCGGTTCAGCAGCCTCTTTGATAAACTGGAGCAAGCCATGGATTCCCATCCTTCTGGTCCGGTCAGGTTGGGCAAACTAGGGAGGAGACATAAAGCCAATACAATTTTATTCCTATAGGTAAGATGTGACTCAGGAGACTGGACTCCTCTCACAGTATAGCCAGCACAGTGCATCTTAGTACAGCCTATAAATCTGTAGCACACATGACTCTGGAGAGCCACCTTCAATAATCTAAATCAAGAATTATTAATTATTCTTAATTTATTAATTAAATTATTAATTTGAAGCTACCAAGCCATTAAACACACACTGGGACCAGCTAAGACGTCATTTGACTCCAAACCCAGTTATCTGATCTTGGCTTAGTATTATCTTGGTAAGATAATACTATATTGCCTTTTTCTCAGGGCTGCCTCAAAGATTACAGGGACTTACACAATCCTGTTTTTATTTAAATAAAAAATTTCAACCTAAAAAAAAAAATTCAACCTGAATTAATGTGTAACCTGATCCTCAAAATGGCCCAGAGCAAATTAGCAACCCCCTTGTTTCTTGTTGACAGGGTAACTGCAGTGAAGAGCCGAAAGGAGCATTTAAGAAAAAACAACTGAATGGATCGCTTCCTGCCCGCACAGGTAACACAAGTGTTCCAGTAGTATTTTACACAGACCTGCTGCAAACCATGTGTTAAATTCCACAGAAATCAACAGAATTAAAGAAACCCACTTAACTCGATCAGGATCGTGCCTTCCTTGGAAGGGAGGAGGGCATCACACTCATTCATGTCATTACATTCAGTCAAAGAAAAGAGGCAGCCATAAGAAAAATTCAGAAATCCAGTGTCAGACCTTCACTGGGATAACTCAAAGATTCCCCCCACGCCCTAGAAGGTAAGCACTTCTCGAAAACTTGCACATTTTCGGCAGCCCTTGTATTGGCATAACAGAGGCATCACACCAAATGGATTTTGGAATTTAATTCAGTGGAGCTTGCTTCCAAGTAAATGGGGTCGGGCTGCAATCCTGTCCCAATTATCTCACTTGGAAGGACAGATAAGCGCATAGCACTGCTTAGGAACCCGAGGGAAAGCCAACCCGCCGCCACAGTTGCGACGGAGGGCGACGCGATCGTTGCAGAGAAGGGAGAGGAGAAACCCGTTCCCGCCCGCTTCGTTTCGAGCCGATCGTCATCAAGCACGCTGGACCCCCGTGGGCCTCCTCCCCGCTTTCAAAAAAGGCCACGAGACAAATGCCCCCCCCCCCCCCGGTGGGAGAAGAGCCCAGCACTCCAACCAGCCCCACCAGTGAGGAAGAAAACCTGGCCGCCCCCGCAGCTTCCCGGTAACCACTTGCCTGCGCTTTGCTCCGACCCGGGCAGGATGGCGGGAGGCGAGTATCAGAAGGCGCAGCTGCCCATCCCCGCCCGCAGCAGTTCGGTTGCCTCGCCGCAGCAGCGGAGCGCGGGAGCCCGTGGCAACGCCTTTCAAGTTCCGCGCGCTCTCCGAGCACGGCCCAAGGCCCGCCCCGAGCGGCGGCGGAGCAAGCCGAAGGACGGCTCGGGCCGCAGCACCCCGGCAGGCAGTGCGGCCGAAGCAAAGCGGTGCTTGCTGGGGAATGGAGTCTTGTCTGGGCTTGTTCGTTCCTCGCCACCTTGTCCCGGGGAGTCGTATGGCTGGAGCGGCACGCAGGCCTGAAAGCCTCGTCGAGAAAACAGGGGAACTGCGGGTGCTTTTCACAGAAGAAGTGCTCTCCTGGCCCCGGCCAGAATTGCCGGCCTGTTTTTTCTTTCTAAATGCGTAGGATGGTGCCCTTATGGATTATATTTCTGCAGCGCCTGTCGGCCTAGGCTCTTTGGATGGTTCACAAAACAAAACTTTAAACCATAAATGACAGGAAAAAAATATAGTGTAGCAACCGTATGCTTAAAACCGTAAAAACCCAAGCTGGAATACGATAAAAGCCATTGGCAACACGCAGTGTTTAAAACGGAAGGGCTTAACAGCATGCGGAAATGCAAAAGTTCACCTGGCGCTGAAAAGAAACAGCAAGTGAACCTTTCTGGGAGGGCCTTCCACCACTAGCGAGGGTACAGCCTCTGAAAAAGCCCCCTCCTCATAGAAACAGAGCAAGTCAGAAGGGGTCTCCCAGGCCATCTAGTCTGACCCCCGGCTCTAGCCGGCTTCGCTCATGACTTGCCTACCGTGTGCACGTCCAGCCTATCCTTGAACACCCGCACCGATGGGGCCTCAACCACCTCCTGTGGAACCCCATTCCATACCCTCAAGGTCCTAACTGTCAGGAAGTACTTCCTGGCATCCAAATTGAACCTTTTCCCTGAGCTTTGCTCCATTGGAGCGCATTCTACCTTCCTCTGCAGGGGAGAACAGGTCTCTACCCACCTCTGTGTGACACCCCCTCACATACCTGTATGTCACCAACAGATCCCTTCTGAGTCTCCTCCAGGCTGAAAAGACCCAGTTCCCTCAGTCTCGCCTCATACGGCTTTCCCTGCAAACCAGCCACCAACCTTGTGGCCCTATGCTGCAATGACTCTAACCTGGCTATATCCTTCCTGTAACAAGGGGCCCATAACTGAACACAATACTCCAGTTGTGGGTGCACCAGAGTCGTATACAGTGGTAGTAATACCTCTTCTGATCTAGAAGCCATGCTTCTGGCTATGCAACCAAGGGCGACATTCGCCCTCTTAACCACCACATCACACTGCTGACTCATGTTTAGCCTGCAGTCAACCAGCACCCAGAGATCCCTTTCACAATTGCTGCTCTCCAGCCACTTGTCCCCTAACCTGTACTTATGACACCCATTCCTGTGCCCCAAGTGCAAGACCTTGCTCTTATCCACATTGAACCCCATCCTGTTGTCCCCTGCCCATGTCCATAGTCTGTCCAGATCCTTCTGGATCTGGAATACCTGCTCCTCAGTTGTGCCCACTGTCCCCATTTTAGTATCGTCTGAGAATCTGATCAGCAGACTGGTCACCCCTTCTTCCATGTTGTTGATGAAAAGATTAAACAGGATCGGCCCCAGGACAGAGCCCTGGGCGACCCCGCTTGTCACTGGCTGCCATCCGCCATAGCCACCAGCCTTAACTCATTTGATGGGGGCCTCTGCAAATGATCTTAGGGTTCCAGCAGCTCTATATGGAAGGGGAGGGCTGTACCACTACATGTGACTGAACAGCAGTTCTTGGAGAACTAGAGTAGTTCAAGTCCCGTTTGTCATTGTAAGGCCTTTGCTAGTATGGCGGAGCCTTTCTCTTACTTTCTTGCAGCAATCCTACACCCAGTGCTTAGTTGGTAAAGAGATTTTTTTTTTTTTTTAAAGATAACATGTTTAAACAGGTAGCTGCAGCCGGGAATGCGTGTGTTCTCTGACCTTAAGTCCTTTCCCCTTCCTCAATGGAAAGGGAGATTTTTCTTTGGTGAAAAGGCACTGCCTGTCCTCAGAAGCAAAATTTCCTCTATTTTCTAAGGCCTTCAACTAACAAAAGATGGTATGGATAAGCATGGGTGAGCTTTAATAGGCAGTGCAGACCCCAACCTATATGGACTAAAAAAAGGGGTGGGGGGAGAGTTATTCTGGCTGCAGATGACTCCAGAAATGTGTATGAAAGATTAAGTGGTGGAGGCTGAAAACAGATGGGATTTGTGTGCTGTCTTTCTACAATATCTTTGTATGCACTTTAAGGTACATTTACACTGGAACCATCAGTAGTTGTATTTTTACATTGCATTTCAATCCTGCCTTTTTTCCTTTAGTGGGGAACACAAGGTGGCTTACTTGGGTCCAGTTTATCCTCAAAACAACAACCCTGTGAGGTAGCTTAGGCTGACAGTGAGTGACTGGGTTTCATGGCTAACTGGCAACTGGAACCTGGATCTCCAGCCCAACACTAACCACTGCACCATCCTGGCTTTCTAACAGTGAGAGGTTACAGTGGCTGCTCCTAAAGGAACGCGAAATTTCTGGGAATCCTGTGCTTCCCCCGCTCTCCAAAACACTCAGCCAGTTTGCCCCTCAAAACACATCAACAACTAAGGGCACAATCCATTCCCCACCCCCACCTCAATGCTAGTTCACAGGATTGCATGCTCAGAGCCAGCTCAAAAGGAGAAACAGCTGCAGCCCTGGCAGGATATCCTGGCTGAATCTTGCTCATGCCCTTCCCCATCCTTCTCAAAGTTTTACCTTATGATCCCTGTAAAATGTATTTGCTATTGCAGTAAGTTTTAAGCTTGGGCCACTAGCTGTGAATATCATTCCAGCAATATTTTCATTATTTTGGTAGAAAACTAAGTTACAAGTGAATTTAGATTTTTTCTAAGCTTCATCAATATAATAAATTATTTACATGTACTCCTTCTGAAGTTAATGTGCTTGTTGGTGCAAAAATAATTTTAACCAAAGCTCAAAATTTTCTTTGGAACTATACATCATTGAATAAATATATAGAAATGCAGCCTTAATATTTGTAAGCATGAATGCTATTTATCTTTAAGGATGAAGAAGAGAATCTTTAAATAATTTTTTCAAGGGTCAGTTTAATGTTTTGTGAAAAGCCTTTAACAGGCTTATGTATAATTCCTGCTTTTAAGAGAGAAACATCACTGTTTTTTGTTACCTGTGAGCATTGGCATGTTACTGTCATTTGTATGCAAAACATTTTCATTTTCTAGTAGGTGTAAATGAACAGTCTCAGTTCAGGGACAAAAATATATTTACAAATGTCACCTCTCTGTCAATGACGTAAAGACAGCAGGACGCCCAGCTGCAAATGGAAGGTATGCAAATACGATTGTTTGAAAATAGAAGTCACATGTGTAGCACTTCATCTACTGTTTCAGTGGTGTTAAGGCATCAACTAAAGCCTAGAATTCTTAGACAAATACTGCCTATGCAGTTTAAAATGTATATGTTGCTATAATGCTAGAAAGGAGGTTGTGAAACAATGACATGTCAAGACAGTGTTTCATCTCTTAAAAAAGGCATTGGATTAAATTGATTGCAAAGCACCTTACAAGTTAC